ACACACACACACACACACACACACACACACACACACACACACACACAATTCAAATTAGATAGACATAGGCTTCTGCCACCACTGTGCTGACAGGGCAAAATCTTTGTCACCAGCTTTATAGGTGCTACAGTTAGAATCCCAAGTCCTCATTCTAACAAGGAGAAATGTGCTGTTTCTTAAATAACTAGATTGTTCCCCATCCCACCTCCCCATCTGCCAACACACATTCTCTCTCTCTCTCTCCCTCTCCCTCTCTCTCTCTCTCTCTCTCTCTCTCTCTCTCTCTCTCTCTCTCTCAACACATTCAATCTCTACCATATAGCCTTCCCCCAACTGCTTTCACAGACTCCAAGACAGTGAGGAAGCCTTAGTGCCATTCCTAGAACAGGACAACTGGTCTACCCAGGACAAAATTAGAAGGCACTAACTGTACTTGCCAAGTTTTAGCAAGGTAGAAATATTAGAACTCAGCAAGAGTAATTGAAGTGGAAGCTATCAAATAGTTGCACTCCACCCTGCACTGTCATCCTGCCTCAGTCTCTTCAACAATAACTTCACGCTGATGTCTGAGTTCTCTGTCTGCACCCCAGTGGGACAGTGTTAACCCTATCCAATTTTGTACATCTTTTATGAAATTTATAATGGGCACAAAAATTTCATATTGCATCTCTGTGAAGACTTTCCAGATGTTGCTCCATTTCATCCCTCAAAAGCATGTGACACAAGGATCCACTCCCTTCTTGTGTTTATCCAATCCCTATCCTCACTTCGGAGTTAGGAAATAGTAATTAGCCAGCCTATAAATATTTATCATTATTTTACTGGTTGACTAATATTTATATAGTGCTTTAGGGTTTTCAAAGCATTTTACATGTAGTATCTCATTTGAGCTTCATCACAATACTATGAGTTGGTGCCATTGTTATCTTTAGTTTACAGATAAGGAAACTGAGGCTTAGAGAGGATGTGACTTTCTGAGGGTCACACTGGGAAGAGCCTAAGGCAGGATTGGAACCTAGATCTTCCTGACTCCAAATCCAGTCCTCTATCTACCACACATGCTGCCAACCAATAACAGTAGTAAGATGCTTTTTTTGGAGGCTGACACAGAAAAAGATTGACAGTGTGGCTTTTGTCAAATTCCAAATGGCTACAATTGTACATGGCTAGCTGGAGCAAATTTTTGGTAGTATTTCAGACCTGTATTTAAATAACTGCTCCTGACTCTGGTGCATGAGCTTGGATAGATGCTCTTTTTCAGCAGATACTGTTGGAACTGACTCTGATGATGTGCTGATCTCTTAAAGTCATGAGGTCTCCTTTTAAACCGAGCATCCCAAAACAAGATCTCTTATCCTATGGTAGAAAATAGAGACATCCATAGAGCATGGGCCAGGTACACTAGCATATTATAGTGTACCTGGCCCATATTCTATATACATTTATGGTAGTACAATACTTTGCAGTTCTTTTAGGATACTGTCAACGGATTTGGCTCTGATGGATATCTGCTCCAATGTTCCAATTAACATTTTGAAAAAAAAATCTGCTTTTCCCCCCCATTTGTCTATTGAAGCAAATCCTGACCTCTTAAGAGTTGCCATTGGTGAATAATTCATCACCTGATGGCCAACCTTGTGGCAATGAGCCCTTTTAATACTTAGCTTAACTGGTCCTCAAACAACAGACGTGCATATACAGTTACCAGGCTCTCTCAAAGCCCTTCTAGTTTAGTAAAAACCTACTACAGTTCTTATTTCAGTGGCATAGCCCTTGAGAGGCTATGGTTACTGCTTGACCAGGTGTGTGCTAAAACCAACTTGTGAGAGCAAACTATTAAATTTTCAGTGTGAGCATTTACACCTTGGAAATGGGCAAATACTACACATCAGGGCTTGATTTGCTGTTCTGTTGATAGTCTAGATTTAAAGTGACAAAGAAAATGTTAATAATGGAGACTAAACTTAAAAGTGTGCTTTGTTTTTAATTGAGAAGGTTGTTAAACATTTGCCAGGTTACCTCCTTTCCTGACCCAATGTGGTACAAGAGGAAGACCAGCAGAGGATTTCTTGTATAGTTAGTTAGACTATAGGCACAGACATAGGCATAGATGTAGAAACATATATATGTAAATGTATATATTTGGTCCAGATTGTACTTTAATTGGTATAAGAAACTACCAATGTGAAAACTCCCTCTACCAATGAAGATTAACAATTCATTTTAACTTATCATCTTAGTTCTCTAAGTTGAATGGGACATTGAAAGGCTTTGTCTGTTATCACACGTTTTCCTGTGTTTGTCAGAGGCTGGACTTAAATCCAAGTCTTCCTAATTCTATCCATTATGGCACACGGCCTCTTCTGTAGCACATCAGCCATTACTAAAAAAGGAATTTTCAACATTTTCCTTTTCTTTTTATTCTTGTCCATGTTTAAAAAAATAGCAAAGGTATTTTTAGCCAGGTTGCTCTTTCCAAACTCCCCACCACACCCCAAATGCATTATATTATTTATTATTACTTATTATTGTTATTAATAACAATAGCTGTTAGCATTTACATAGGGTTTTAAGGTTTTCAAAGTACTCTGTGTGTGTGTGTGTGTGTGTGTGTGTGTGTGTGTGTGTGTGTGTATTAGCTCATTTGAAAAACATTCTTAAAGGGGCAGCTAGGTAGTGCAGTGGACAGAGTACTGGCCGTGGATTCAAGAGGATCCAGGTTCAAATCCGGCCTCAGACATACAACATTTATTAGCTGTGTGACCCTGAGCAAGTCACTTAACCTGTTATTATATTATTATTAAAAACAAAAGCTTTACTTATAAAGATTTTCAGTTTCATATATAATCCTCATTTTCCATTCTTTGAATATGGAAATGTTTGTGTTTATTGGTTAGAAACATAGAATTACAGATTAACAGCTGGAAGGGACCTCAGACACTGATTTAATTTGAGCCCCTCATTAGTCTGTCAAGTTAAGAATAACAAAAAATAAAAATGACTAACATTTCAAAACAAACAAAAAAGAGATGTTAAAGTTGGCCTTATGTATTGTTTTATGTTCTCTATCACAAGGTGGCTCCGAAGATCAAAGCTCTGATGATGGAGTCTGGTACAACTATGGTTGGATATCAGCCTCAGGGAGACAAAGCCAACTTCTTCCGGATGGTTATCTCAAATCCAGCAGCCACCAAGTCTGACATCGACTTCCTCATTGAGGAAATCGAAAGATTGGGGCAGGATCTGTAATAACAATTGGCAAACCTTTTCTTGCTTTCATGACCTGTTTTCCAGAATTGACTGCTTCACACCCAGTTCTCCAGCATACACTTCATGGAAGTTTCCTTTCTAAATGTTCCATCCTCCTATGGCACTCTAGAACAAATCCCTATAAATTGCTGAAAACATATAGGCCATTTTACTGAACGAGAAAAAATATATTATTGTGACGTGTACTGCTAAACCTTATTTAAGCCTGTTTATTGTAGTTAGCAGGAAACTAATAGGTCTTAAAAGAAGTTGCAGATGAAAAACTCTTTACAGTATATATGTACAGTTATATATAACTATATATATGTATAGTGAGTAGGACTTTAGTAACAAGTAGCATGATTTCCATTTTCAGAGAGTCAATTCTTCCTTCAACAGTTACCGAGGGGGGGGGGGTAACGTGCTGCAAACCGGCTTGCCAAATGAAAACAGGGAAGCTTTTATATAACTGTAGTTCTGTAGATACAAAGGAAATTACTATTTAGCAGGACTTAATCTTACCCTCTGCTAGTCTCTCCTGCCTGACATAATCAATTAGGAAAAGCCAGGGCTATAACTAAGGAGGAGCAAGAGAGGCTTTGTTATAGGATGCTAACATTTACAGGGCATTGACAGCACTCGTATTCCTTCATCAAGCAGAAACAACTGACCTTAGCACCTTTTTAGGAAGAATAATTAGTCAAAATAGGAAGCTGTCAGAGGACAGTAGCTCCCTCCCCCCATTGGCCTGAATCCCAGGTGAGCTTCTTTCAAGCCACATTATGCTCCATCCCCAGGTGATGACCTCACTAGCAGTAGCTTCAAGGTGTTCTGGGATGTCTCCTCCCAAAGGATCTTGTGTCTTGAGATCTCAGTTCTTTCTCCAAGGGAGGTCTTCTTCACACTCACCCCACCTACCCTAGTTGAATTTGTCTTACTGCTTGCCCCAAGCACAGGCATCTTGTGGTGCTTTCCCTGAGCTCCAGAACTGCTAGTTATAGCTCTGGGAAAGTCATTATCTGCTGCCCAAATAGCCACACCTTCTCCATTAGTGTCATAGTAGGGGACAGTAGTAGCACAGTCCTCGTTAATAGGTATATTCTTGCTGTATTTTTAGAGATTACTTTGTGTAGATTGTGTATATTATTGTTAAATGACTTTGGGGGGGAAGGAACACATGTAATGGTTTCAATAACTGTTCAATTGTAGGTATATGACATATTTGCTTTATTTATATGCAGAGATTAACCATGTTAAGAGTTGTCTTGTATTTTCTTCCATTTGTAATGTATCTTATTTATATATTACTGAAGTAAGTTTGAAATAATGTTTATGGTATTTTAGTGTATTTGTGAGCCAAAGAGAAAAGAGTAAAATTTAGTGACATTTGCATTTCTATTAGAGTGCCCTTAAAAATAATCACTTAAGGATCATTTTCCTGTCTATAAAAGGAATTCTGATATTGTACATAGAGTTGAGTATATTGAAATCCCTTTACTTCCATAGACTCTGCACCTTTGTTACCCTTACTGTTTGGCTGTGTGTCTAGTTTTCTGAATGCTTTTCTAGTGACTCCTGGCTAACAACCAGGCCCTTGTACCTTTGTAGTAGATCAGGACCAAGCTCTGTGACTAGCTTAGCTAAATTCTATGGCAACATTTCTGAAGATCCTTATGGATTCTCGAGGAGCACTGACCAGGCTCACTGCTGTTTTACAGAAAGAACATTTTAGAGTATACATGAGAAAAACGAATAAATAAAAATGTTCTCCTTGGAGAACTTGGACAGAGTGGTTTGCCAGTTCGTCTTTTTAATTGAGAGAGATGTTTCCAATTGCAGTCACCTGGGACACCTGCAGCTCATTCCATTCCCATTAGCTGTGTGGCTGTGTGGCTAATTGCCTGCATTTCACCCTCGTGATCACACTAACTCTCCATTCAATGTCAAACCAAAGTCCCAGAACCACTCAGGAATTCCAAAATTTTATTGTGGCCAGTCACTAAAATTTGTTGATTTCAATGTCTTGGAAAGGTTTTGCCCTCTTATCACATTTTCCATTTTGCTGTTTGAGGCTTCATTTCTTGGTGATTCTATGAAAGTGAGAAGCATAGAATGAAACAATTTGTCCTGTCCAGCTTGGGGTGAGTGGTTCTAGTTTGTGTGGATAACTTCCTCACAGGAAAGAACGACGTAACTGTGAAGGGGTCCAGAAAAATAATGAATAATCTTTTGCTCAGAAGGGCTTTAAAAAAAACAGAGTTTGAATTTATCCTACTACAAAATTCCAAAGTTTTCTGGAAATGTGCAGGTGGCACCTCTAGGTAAACAATTCCCTTTTGTAAGAGGCAGCATGGTATAGTGGACAGTGCACTGGACTTGTAATCATGAAGCCCTGGGTTCAAATCCTGCCTAAGACATTAGCTTTGTGGCTGGATGTCATTTTACCTCTCTGTTTCTTCGTCTATAAAGTGAGGGGTTTAGATCTTAATGGCCTTAATGGTCTCTCACGTCAATAATTCTGTGACCTCATGAAACATTTGCATACAGTTCACCAAGTAGAGAAATGGAATTGTGTGGGGCTGAGAAAGAGCTAAAGGCAAAGATGAATGCTCAGCTAAAGATGATTTCCCCAAATCTTAGCCAGAATCCATAAATGGTTTTGATGTGATGGAAGGAACACAGAACTATAACTTGGGAGACCTGGGTCTGAATTTTGACTCTACCATTTAACCTCTGTGTGGTCTTTAACAGATTTGGTACATTGGACAGAGCTCTCAGTTTGCGTGTCGAGGACTTGAGTTCAAATACTGCTCATTTCATTTAGGATCTATGTGACTTTGGGTCTCAATCTCTTCATCTATAAAATGAGAGAATTGGATTGGATGGCCTCTTAGGTCCCTTCTAGCTCAAAATTAATTTGATTCTAGAATTGGCATCTGTTGATTTTTAAGTGTAATAGCAATTACATGATGGGGCAGTGTATATAGTAGAGGACCTAGAGACAGGAAGACTCATTTTCCTGAGTTCAAATTTGGCCTCAGACACTTTGTAGCTGTGTGACCCTGGGCAAGTCACTTAACCCTGTTTGCCTCAATTTCCTCATCTGTAAAATAAGCTGGAGAAGGAAACGGAGAATCACTCCAGTATCTTTGCCAAGAAAATCACAAATGGGGTCACAAAGAATTGGGAATGACTGAACAACATTAGGTGATACAGTTGGCCCAGAAGGGAAAGTATTGTTCAAGGCAGTACTTGTGGTACCTTCTGACCTCGGGTCTTAGTAAAGACTGAGTCTTCTAGAGTAAGCCTCTAGGATTAATTCTGTACTCCAAGGCTTGAGGTTCAAGCTCAGGCCCCAGTGGGTAGATATGTTTATTTGGAAGAAGAAAGCCAGTTGGTTACCAATCCTGAACATTTGGTTTTGAGGTTTTCCCCTTTGAAAGGAGCTGCCTCCCAGCCATCCCAATTGTACTTCCCCCAGGAGAATATTTCCTGGCAACTTATCTAAAATGAATATAAGATATATTCTCTGTATTCTTGTGCTTCCATAGTCTAATTTGTGAAAAGGTATACATGACCTAGATTTTCTGATCCCTAAATCTGACTTCCATTGGGTACATGAACAGTCCTTTCCTTCCCAAAGTGACTCTTTTCCCTCTTTCCCTCTTTGGTGGGTGTTGTTTTGGAGTCTGGTGATTTTCAGTCAGAAGAGAATTCCTATTGCTGACTAACCTAATCCATAAGTTTGGGAAAGGATAACTATTAAAGAAAACTGAAAATGTCCAGTGTTTGTGCCATGGAGCCCTTCTTCAAAGCATTTAGGATTAGCTCAATATCTCTAACAGATAAACATAGAGAATGCCAAGTACCTGAGGGAAGCTCAAAATTTTAGAATAAGTTATTCAGGGCAAAACACGTGAAATTATTCAAGAAATAGACTGTTCTGACTTGTTAGAAAACTTATTAGAATGATAATGATAAGCAATGAAGTTTTAATTTTTTTCTTTTTTTAAAATTAATTTATTTTGAATTATCAACAATCACTTCCATAAGCTTTTGAGTTTTAAATTTTTCTCCCCCTCCCTCCCCACTTCTCTCCCCAAGATGGCGTGCAATCTGATATAGGCTATATATATACATTCCTATTAAACATATTTTCACATTATGAAGTTTTAGTTTTTCAATAAAACTTTTAAATGCCTCCAAAATGGTTTTCTACAAACCCTTTAGGGGTTCATACTCTTCATAAAAAAGAGTAGCTCTTCATCTTCGGCAAGACATTGATGGCCCCAATTCCTCCTTTTCCTTCTTCTTTCCCTCCCCCTCCTCTTCACAGAATGAAGATAATGGGTAATGGGACAGGGGGAGGAGTGGAAAGAAAGGAAACTAACTAAAAGTGAACAGGGGGAAAGGGAGGTGCATCCAAAAAAGGAAGTGAGTGACCCACAAAAACGTGGCTTACTTTACAATTTTGCCATGGGCTAATCCTATAGTTTGATAAACAAGCAATCTCCCTAGAGTCCAGCTGAATACTCATAGACCCTGAATTTGGCTATGAATCTCAAAATCAATGGGAATTCCAGGAACAGGGCTATATGTGAAAAGAGCCACAATGAGCATGGGGTAACTGGGACTTTGCCCAAGGGTGACAATGTTGGTGGGGCACATTTCCATCTAATAGTAATCCTTTGGCTCAGCAGTAATGTTAGCACCTTCTAACCAGCATGATATGGTAGAAATAGTGATGAATTTGGACTCTTAGAACCTGAGTTCAAATCCCAGCTCTGCCATTTACTATGTATGGGACTTAGAGCAAGTCACCGAATCATTCTGGGCTTCAGTTTCTTCATCTGTCAAATAAGGGGGTTAAACTAAAAGATCTCTAATATGTCTTCTAGCTCTAGAAGATACTATAATACTATGATGGGAGGCTTCTCTGCACTCCAAGTAAGTTTTCTGTGGCCTGGCCCTGACTTTCTTCTTCCCCTAGTGGCCTACTC